GGGCGGGCACGCGCCCGCGCCCGCGCGCGCGGGGGCGCGACGGGGAGGGTCTCTGCGCCCCTTCCCCCACGCCTCCCCGCCCCCACGGCGCTCTCCTTTCTCCGCGCCCCCCCCCCCCCCCCCCCCCGGCGGGGGGGAGGGGTGCTCCCGGCTGCGCTCCGCCAGCGGGTGGGGAGCCGGAGCTCTTTGTGGGAAGATCTTGGGGGCGCGTCCCTGCCCTGCGGCCGGGGGCTTCGGACTGGCTCTGCTCCCGGCCCGCCCCTTTTCTGCAGCGCCGCCCGCAGCCCCCCCCCCTCCCCCGTACGACCCCCTGGAGGGGAGGGCATCCGTGCGTGCCCGGGACCCGGCCCGGAGGGGCTCCAGGCGGCGGGCTCACTCCTCCCTCGGGGATAGGCGTGGGGGGCTAAGCGGCCTCGTCCCCCGTCTGGAATCCGTGAGGACCAGGTGAGTCCCACCCTCCCAGTCGGGCTCACGGCGCTGTGTCCCCGAGCCTGGGCGGGAGGCGAGCTCAGAAGTCGTCGGGCCGACCCTGGCGCGGCGCGATGGGCGCCTCCGCCGCCCCCACATCTGCCAGAGCGAGAGTCGGTTAGCTTTGGGGGGACTTGGCCAGCCTTCTGGGCCAGACCTTAGCCCCGTGCAACCTCTTGACAAAGGCGTGGGAGATGAGAATGTCCGTTGGGGAACTGGGATGCTCTGGTGCGCTCCGGAGAGGTCTGCTTTCCAGTAACCACACGGCCGTGCATTGGCATGACTTTGTATCGCATCTCTGTGGCTATTTTTGTTCGCTGTTGTACCGTTCATCCGTTTTTGCGAAGTGCTTTCCAGAGAAGGTCATTTGGTCTTCCTCCCTGTGAAGTCGGGAGGTGGGGTGGTTTTGGAGGGAAAGGACCTCAGTGCCTTGATGTGTCCAATGGGGATAATGGTAACGACAGACACGCCTATCTCAGCGTGCTCCTGGCTGGGGAGGACATCACCGGGCCTCCTCCCCAGCCCGGCAGCGACCAGTTCAGCCCAGCCTCCCTCCCTGTCCCTGGAAATGAGCTGCAGGGGGCTACTGCATGGGGAAAAAGTGACTTTCCCTTACTGCAGCCATGAGACAGGTGAGGAGAGGCATTTCCCAGAGCTCAAGGCAGAAAGAGGAGGCAGGAGGGACCTCAGATCACACAGCCACGGGCTCTTCATCCACCTTTCTTTAACTGGGATTTGCGTCACCCCTTTCTGTCACTTCTCCCACAGCTCCCCTCTTGTTCTGTCCCACACCTATCTTATTTTGTAGTTGTAAGCTGTTTATAAGCACGATCGTATACACTTTTTTAAAATTTCATTCACTTAACAGCCCTGTGAAGTGCTATCAGCCCATTTTATAGGTGGAGAAACAGACTCAAGAGAGCTAAGTACTTGGCCCAGCAATAAGGAGCCAGAATGAAACTCAGGTTTTTTGACTTGGCGGTACTTTTAATGTCGACTCCGTCATCCAGGTGGGTCTTCGTACTCAGGACTTCTCCCTGTCCCAAAGCTCCACCGCCACGGCGAGGAGATGAGGGACCCCCTCAAAGAGAGACCCGCTTGGCATTTTAGGAGCTAAATCCACGACCTCATGTACTCCTATCCTTCTCTTTGCGTTGCAGCCCTGCATGGTGGGAGTATCAGAGACGAAGGAGGACCGTGTCGTCAGAGGGGTTGAGCTCTTTGTTTGGGTTCCGTGAAAGACAGAATGGGCTGAACTGGAACTGACCTACATGTCCGCCAAAGGAGGTACGGTTCTGTAGTATAAACTCTGCTGCGGGCTGGGCCAGTCAGGAGGCCTGCCTGTAGAGGAGGGCAGGCAGGCGGGCTGGTGGGGGGCACGCCTCCCTGGGAAGAGACAGCTCCAGCCCCTTGTTGCTTGACCTGAATGTTGGGGGGGGGGGAAGCTGTAAATTGTTACGGAAAAGGATCTCATGTTTTTAAAGCTAGTAACGAATTCAAACCCCTTTTCAAAATACGCAGGGCAAGCAGATTATAGGTGCCGGCTGGTCGTTGCCTGCAGACTGCCAGCCGACAGCCTCTGGGTTGGACCTTAGGAAGAAGTTGCTGTCATTCTAAGAAGCGATGAAGCGTGGCTGGAGTGGGGGGCGGGGGTGTCTTCTAGCTGTTATCCTTTGAGAACCAAAAAAAGAAACGACAACAGAACTGGAGGTAGCCAAGAGTGCTGGCTGGAGTTTGGAGGGAGGACTGACTTAATGACTCAGCCCCTCATTCGTTCAGCCAGTGTCAGTCTCCTTGGAGTCTAGTCTTTCGCCAAGAGAATGCTTGCAACTTGCTCGCTACCTGTTTCTGTGGCCAGTTATGGGCGCAGCAGGCGTTCGGGTCAGATGCGTTCGGGGAAGCTGGGAGCCTAAAGGAAGGCGTTTTCTCTGTGATGGGGGGTAAGACACGAAGGGGGCACGTTCGGTGGTGTGTGTGTTTTTCACTCAAGTAACCGGTGAGAGAGCCCTGGATCCAGAGCACAATCTGAAGTCAGCCTGCCACTTACAAACCGGTGTCCCTGGGTGAATAATAGAAAGCATATCGGGGCGCCTGGGTGGCTCCGTCGGTTGAGCGTCCGACTTCGGCTCAGGTCACGATCTCGCAGTCCGTGAGTTCGAGCCCCGCGTCGGGCTCCGGGCTGATGGCTCAGAGCCTGGAGCCTGCTTCCGATTCTGTGTCTCCCTCTCTCTCTGCCCCTCCCCCGTTCATGCTCTGTCTCTGTCTCAAAAATAAATAAAAACGTTAAAAAAAAATTTTTTTTAAATAGAAAGCATATCTAGAGTGTGGTAGCTTTTTCATAAACATGAGTCATTATGAAAGATTTTTTAAAATATAGATGTGTTTAGGAAAATAAAATACAGGACGTGTATAGGAAAATAAAGTTCCCTCCACTCCCTCTCCTCACCTCAGAGGTAACCACCGCAAATGTATTATTTTCTAGACCTTCTTCAGGGCCTAAGTATATGCCCCCCGAGTCTGGAAATCCGGGTGAATATGCAATACATTGTTTATTGATACTTATATATTTTTTGAAGTTTATTTATTTTGAGAGACAGAGAGCAGGAGAGACGGAGAGGGAGAGAGAATCCCAGGCGGGCTCGAGGCAGGGATCGAACTCATGAACTGTGAGACCGTGGCCTGAGCCGTACCGAGAGTCAGACGCTTAACTGAGCTACCCAGGCACCTTCCACCCATGTCTGTCCCCGAGTGCAGCGTGAGCCCCCCCCCCACTTCCTGGAGGGAGCTCGGCCCCTCCCGGCTGGGTCCCAGGCACTCACCAGGGGTTGTACAAGGGGGCTGCGGGCAGCGCTGGAGAAATGGGGCCGGCCGGGAGAAGGGCCTGTCCAAAGCCCCTGGCCGCAGGGCAGGGATGCGCCCCCAAGATCTTGTGTACACGGGAGTATTTCTGGATAAAACCTATTCCTACAAGTGAAGCTGGTGAAAGTAGGTTACTTTTTTTTTTTAAGTTTTTTTTTTTTTTTTAACGTTTATTTATTTTTGGGACAGAGAGAGACAGAGCATGAACAGGGGAGGGGCAGAGACAGAGGGAGACACAGAATCGGAAACAGGCTCCGGGCTCTGAGCCATCAGCCCAGAGCCTGACGCGGGGCTCGAACTCACGGACCGCGAGATTGTGACCCGGGCTGAAGTCGGACGCTTAACCGATTGAGCCACCCAGGTGCCCCGAAAGTATGTTACTTTAAACATTTATTTAAGCAAAATTCCCTTTGTTTATTGGGATCTGGAGATGCTGCAGACAAGAGATTGAATTTATTTACTAACTTTTAGGTTTCCTTGTTTGGGGATGGGTAGTATTTGGGGATAGGTAGTATTTCTAAAGCACGACATTCAAAGGGTATACAAGGTAATATCTCCGTCCTATCTCAGCCCTCTCTTTCCCTGTTTTGGATATAATGAATTTTGCCAGTTTTTGTGTATTCATCTAGAGTTAGCCTATGCATCTGTAGGCAAATAAAATGTGTCTTCTGTTTTCTCCCTCTAAAAGAAAAAATACGGTAGCATACAATATACCCTATTCTGCTTATGGGCTGAAAACAAAGCAGAACAAAACCTGTGTCTTCGAGATCATTCCGTGCCAAAGTTCTGTGCATTTTAGGTTTTCCCAAGCTTACACTGAAAAAAAGCTTAGTCAGTTTACACTCCTTCAAATTGCCCATGAAATCCTTTTCAGTTTTTCTGTTGAATTGTTTGTGATCGCATCAGTTTTTGAGGCTGTCTCTAAATCCTGGACTTTCTTTTCTTGTTAATAAATCAGATATTTTGCCTTTTATGTTTTCCTCCCTAGCTTTACTTAACTGTACCTTTGTGCAGAAGTGATGACTTTTTACATGATTGGGTCTGAATCACTTTTCTGTGACCCTCCCCCACCCCCCAAGTGTTTTGTTTTGCTTAGGAAGTCCTCTCCAATCGCAAGACTAACTTCTTACGTTTTCTCTTTCCTCTCTGTTCTCTTTGCTTTTTTTTTTTTTTCTCACTTAACACTATTTTAAAGTATTGTGTCTTTCCTATTCCCTTTTTTTCAGGTTCCCTCCTCACTGACACCAGGGAAGACAGGGTTTGAATTTGCCTGTGAGCCTCGTTGGCCAATGTGGCATCCCTCTTGTCTTTCGTTTTTAGAGGGATTATTTTCATCGAGCGTGAAGGACGAGCTCTTCACTAGGCGGGGGAAGAGGGAGAATGGGCATTCCGACAGCGGACACGTTTCCGTGCAAAATCAGGGGAGCGAGGTACAGCAGTGGGTATATTTGGAGAACCGTGAGCGAGCGATTCAGGAGGGCCGCAGTGGAGGGCGTGTCCGTGATAGGTTCTGCCGGTGGCCCAGCCTGGCATGGCGTGACCAGGCTGGTTAGGAGTCAGCCGGTCCAGCAACACTGCAGGGTGGGAAGGAGATGAGATAGAAATGTCCGGTAGTCATCGAGGGCAAGGATAGCGAGGCCCTGGGCCAGGGTAATGACAGTGGCCGATGGAGTTGTGAGTCCGAATTTAGGGAGGCGCTACGTGTCCGTGACGGGGAACGGAAGTGACCAGCACGCGTTGCTTTACATACGGCATCTCACTGACACCTAGCAAGCCCGTATAAAAGAAGATCCAAGGCTCAGAAATGTTCATGAATCTCCCCCAGGTCCCGTGGCTCGTGTCAGTCGGGGCCTTAGCCCCATTAGGACTACCTAGCAAGAGTACTCTCTGATGCCCTGGGTTTCTGTCTCGAGTGCTTGGGGTGGGTGGTGATGTTTTTTCCTAGGGTAGTGAAAAACACGGGGAATAGCATATTGAGATGGTAGAAATGCTAGGAGCAGAGAGGACGAATTCCATTTTGCACATGTTCTAGCCGAGGTGCCTGGGTGTGGCAGGAAGGGAGAATGGGAGGAAAGTATGGGAGGAAACACCTACTAGGCGGGTGGATATGAATCTGGAGCTCTGAAGAGCGATATAGATGGAGATTTCGGAGTCATCCCTGTTTACGGGGGTATAGAGAGCGCGTACAGAGAGAGAGGAGGTCTCAGGCGGCACTCTTCCTTCTACAAGTGGTGGAAAATCCAGTTCACACTGGCTTAAGCAGAAAGGAAAGTTATGGGCTCACATCGCCAAGAAGCTCAAGAGTGGGGGCGCCTGGGTGGCTCAGTTGGTCGAGCATCTGGCCCTTGATTTTGGTGCAGGTCATGATCCCGGGGTTGTGGGATTGAGCCCCATGTCGGGCTCCCTGCCGAGCGTGGAGTCTGCTTCGGGTTCTGTCTCTCTCTCTGTCCTCCCCTGCCCTCAAAACAAACAAACAAACAAACAAACAAACTTAAAAAAAGCTCCAGAGTGTATCTGACTTCAGGCCTGGGTTCCAGGTTCAAGTGATTTCATCAGGACTCACTTTCTTACCTGCTCTGGTCTCAGGCTCCCCGCTCACGATGGCTAGGGGGTGATGCCAGTGCGAATCCCGCGGGAGAGGGGAGCTGTCTGTCTCCCAGCTACCCCACCACCAGGCCCGTACGTCTCACAAACCGAGTCATAAAGTGGGTCAGAGGGGTTTGGAATGTGCTGATGGGCGAGGCATAAATCATGTGTCACGTCCATGAAGACACATGAACTCCGGGTCTGGAAAGGGTGACTCTGCAGAGGAAACTCAGGGGCAACCCCCGGAGCAAAGGAAGCAGTTGATTTCCTCTGCAGACGGAGAAGGAGTGGCCCCTGGGCAGTAGTAGTGACACGGGCAGGGCGACTGCAGGTCAGTAAGCCTGGAAAGGAATGGAAGGAGGGAGAAGCAGGAGAGAGCGGTGGCGGGGGGAGGGGGGCGTCTCGGAGGAAAATGACTTAGTCGAAGGCATCAGGTGCTGGGGGAGTTCAAGGAAGGACCTGTTGGATTTGGCGAGGAGGTCATCCTTGTCCAAAGCAAGACAGTCATTTATTTTTATATTTTATTTTTATTTTTGAGACAGACAGAGTGTGAGTGGGGGAGGGGCAGAGAGAGAGGGAGAGAGAGAGAGGGAGACACAGACTCTGAAGCAGGCTGCAGGCTCTGAGCTGTCAGCACAGAGCCCAAGCAGGGCTCGAACTCCAGAATGGCGAGATTCCATGACCTAGGCGGAAGTCAGACGCTCAACTGACTGACTGAGCCACCCAGGCGCCCCAAGACAATCATTTATGTTACACTTGACTGCGCCTGCCTTCTAGAGGATTCCTATTCCTGCCTGTCTCCTGTACTCCCCGCCCAGTCCCGGGACGGCCAGGAAGGGCAG